CTCTCTCTTTCTCTCTCTTTCTCTCTCTTTCTCTCTCTCTCCCCCCTTCTCTCTCTCTCTCTCTCTCTCTCTCTCTCTCTCTCTCTCTCTCTCTCTTCAAAGTTTTCAAAGTTTTTTTTAACACATGTTGCGGCTTGGATGACGATGTGGCAAGTACAGATTTTCGGGATGTAGACCTGGCTACGGGTTTCGCAAGGGAAAGTTGGGAGCACTCTCGGCACCCACCGCAAACCCGGTAGTTTTGACACCTTAATCGGAAAGGCGGTAGAACTAAAACAGGTTCAAAATCGGAAACTAGATCTAGATCTACCGAAAAGAAATTGTATTTTAGCTAATAGGCCTAGGCCTAGACCTCTGCAGTAAGAGCCAGTATGTCTTCGACATGTCTTGAAAATACGCATAGCCTTTTTTTTCCTCGACAGGTCGTGAGAATGGGCATAGATCTTTTTTCCACGACTTGTCGTGAAAATGCTGGCTGCATTTGTGAAATTCGTTTCAAGAACAGGCCAGTATGAAATGCCTGTTTTGTGAACTTCGTTTTCAAGAAAAGTCAAAAGTGCCCATTTTGAAGAACCGTCAAAATCTTTAAAAAATAAGGGTGTGGGGTCCATGTGCGACATAATTTTGTCATTGGAGGGGTTTCACCTCCAGTATACGAGGCAGTGGGTCTATTGATATATCCCCTCAACTAGCAGGGGGAGGAAAGGGGGGGCATGCGATATGTCTTCTGCCAGACAGATGGAAACACTTCATTAGTCAGGCTCATTAGGATGCAGAAGTTCAGCACAAGACGGACACACTCGACACAGTAGACTTCCCAATGTGGGAATCGAACCCACATCTTCTTCGTTCAAAATCAAAAAGCCTAAACCTCTGCTGCATAGACTCGGGTTAAAGAAAAAAATGTAGATCTAGTGGTAGAATTTTTACGCCCGCATCGACAACATTTAGGTCATTCAGGCGGCGGGCCGTTTCGACACCACCTGTGCCAGAAGAAGGATTGAAATGTTCGACAAAATTTCACCCACACGAAATTCGAACTCATATCTCCTGTGTGCTAGATCGAAACCATAAGTGTATAATATGTACAAGTAGTTGCCCACCATCAAGCTTACAGGATGGCATTTTTTAAATCCTGAAAGAGCGACAACTGAGGAATCGAAAAAAAATTAAACATGAAAAAAAAAAAAAAAAAAACCGGAACAAGCAAACATCCTCCGATGATCTCCATGAAAGAGAATAATTAATGTTGACCTGATATAAACAGCAACGAGGAACAAAGGGAGTGGGGTGGATAGAGCATAGAGTGCATGAGAACGGAGAAACGGAGGATGAGAGGGTGTGGAAAGCGGAAGATATTGTCTTTCGTGCCTGAGTGTTTGAGTCAAAGACTGTAACGCGAGAGTGAGTGTTGCGTGAGTGTGCCTGTCTGTCTGTGTATGAGCGTGTGTGTGTGTGTTTATGTTTGTCTGTTTGAGTGTGTGTGTGTATGTGTGTGCGTGTGCGTGTGCGTTTAGGTGTGCGTGTGTGTGTGTGTGTGTGTGTGTGTGTGTGTGTGTGTTGATGGATTGATTGAGTAGGTGTTTTACGGCACTATCGACCCAATTCGGGCCATCTAGGTGCCAACAGGCCTCACCGCAACAAATCCAGTGTATGTGTGTATCTGTGTGTGTGTGTGTGTGTGTGTGTGTGTGTGTGTGTGTGTGTGTGTGTGTGTGTGTGTGTGTGTGTGTGTGTGTGTGTGTGTGTGTGTGTGTGCGCGCGCGCGCGCTCACTCGCCCGTACACCCACGTGTGTGTAAGAGATCCTCCTTGACGTTCGAAGTTGAGATCACATCCCACACGGCTTCTCTCCGGTAGACCTTACGCCCAAACGGCTTCGTTCCACCGGGATAATGAAAATATACCGTGTTATAATAATAATAATAATAATAATAATAATAATAATAATAATAATAATAATAATAATAATAATAATAATAATAATAAAAACAATCTTTTAAAAACCAATAATAGATTTTGTATAGCGCAAGTTCCCGCTCAACAGCAAGATCGATGCGTTTTGCAATGTATTATGATATGATTACCCCCAGCAGACCGAATGGCATTCTGATGATCTCAACTTCCTGGGAAACATACTACAGTGCAAGCTGCCATGTTTACAGGCGCTAAAACACTAAAACGCTGACTAGATCTTTCGCTGTCTACGGTCGGGTACCCATTCCCACCTTGGTGAAGTGAGGAAACTTCGTCTAAGGTATCTTTCCCAAGGACTCAACGTCCGGCCTGAGGCTCGAACTCCGAACCCGCAACCTCACGATTTCGAGTCCGGAAGCCTAACCACTAGCAACGTGGGAAAGCCACACACCATCTTACAGCTTCTCTCTCTCTAAGAAAAAGGTACACACCAACTGGAGTCCTTTTACTTTTTCTCGGATGAAAAAAATATACTGTAAGCGTGTTGGCGGAAAATCACAATGGACTACTTACAACAGGCACACAGAATTCATGTGTATGCACACGCGCACGTCTGTGTGTGTGTGTGTATGTGTGTGTCGTGTGTGTGTCGTGTGTGTGTCGTGTGTGTGTGTGTGTGTGTGTGTGTGTGTGTGTGTGTGTGTGTGTGTGTGTGTGTGTGTGTGTGTGTGTGTGTGTGTGAGAGAGAGAGAGAGAGAGAGAGAGAGAGAGAGAGAGAGAGAGGAAGAGAGAAGGGGGGAGGGGGGAGAGAGGGGGGAGAGAGATAGGTAGATAGGGACAGAGAGAGAGGAGGGGGGGGGTCTTGATGAAGGTATCTTAAGCCCCCAACAACTCAAGTGACATCATTTGAGAGACGGGTTTCGGCCCTGCCCGTTAGGGCCAGCTTGTGCTGAAAGGGGTACAACATCCAAGCAAAAAGACAGAGATAGATCTACATGTATTTGATAAAAAATCATCCCCTCCCGGAATTCCAAATCTTGTTCTCTGCGAGTGAAAGAAACGCGCCCAACCGCCCCATCACAGACACCGGTAAAGACGGAGTTTTTTTTTAAAAAACGTACATTCATTAAAAATCGAAATATCTACAGGGAACAGAAATCCATCAGAAGTTGAGATGAGTTGAGTTATGGGCAAGTGCGAGAGAGAGAGAGAGAGAGAGAGAGAGAGAGAGAGAGAGAGAGAGAGAGAGAGAGAGAGAGAGAGAGAGAGAGAGAGAGAGAGAGAGAGAAAAGGCTATATTTCGCCAGG